GTGAATAATGTTAAAAATAATTAAATAAACATAATATAAAAACTTTTATATTTTAATTCAGAAAATTAATTTATTATTAAGTATAATTAATTTTTATTATATATATCTGGTTTGTTTCATATTAGTAAATGAATATTTATAACCGTAAATAAATGATTATAAATTTTCAAATGCTTATTTTAAATTTCATTTTATATAAAACAAATAAATAAAAAAGGTACTTTAAAAAATTTTATAAAAGTACTTTTAAATCTTATATTTTAATCATTTTAAAATGTTTATTTATTTAGTTATTTTTAAATTTTATTTTATTAAAAAAATTAGTAATTTATTTATAAACAAATAAATAAAAATGTTAAAACTATATATAAAAATCTTTTAAAACTTAATTGAATTTAAATTGATCATTTTCAAAATTTAAATAATAAAATAAAAAATTAAAATAAAATATTTTTAAGGATTTAAATCTATTTAGACACTTTACGGATTGGAAAGAAATAAATAACTTTTTTGTTTTTAATATTTTAATGGATTTAAAACGAAATTGAAGCCATAGACGTCGTTTGATATGTCTGAATGTGACGTCACGTTTTGACGTAAGCGTGAAGTAGCCCAGTCGAAAAATTTTGCAAAGACAAAAATATGACGTATAACTCTCGATTCTATCAAGACCTGTTATTTAGCTTGAATTTTAGACGTCAAAGAAAGAAAATTGATCTTTCAGAATAGAAAAGATAGAGCAATGGATTGAGAAGTTTGTAAACTTTTCGATTATCCTCTTCTCTGTCTGCGAAAATTTTTTCTTTATTTTCATTTTATTCTATTTACAGAATTAACTTATCACGAAATTTATTCTGTATATTATTATCGCCGACTGTAATGTTCTAATGCCTTTTTTCTTTTTCTTCTTCTTTTTTTTGTATTTGTGTGCTTTGACAAGCGAGTTGTAGGTTCTTAGATTAATGCTTTTCAATCGTTCTGGAGGCAGGAGACAAAAACATGTCCACCTGTTTTGTCAGCCCGAGGAATACATTCCAAAATCACGTGATTAAATAGGCATGCGTGATACCAAGAACAGATGAGTGAGTAGAGATGCTTGAATTTGACAGCTGACTAAAAGCAATATAGAAACTAGAGAGAGAAAAGTTGCAAGGAAAGGTATAAAAAAATTATTTTTTAAATAAATAACAATAATAATAATTCCTTAATTAATTTTTACTATAGTAATAAATATAGTTTTACTTAGAAAAAAAAAATTAAATATGCTTAATTTAAGTGTCAATTTTAGTGAATGGGAAAGCAATAGAGAAGCTTCAGTTAATGTGTAGAATATGTTAATTTTATTTAAATATATTTGCAAAAATGTTATGTTTTTATATTTAAATTTTTATATTTTACTTAAAGAATTTAAGGCAAGAAATTTTTAAGTTGTAAATTTTTATTAACCCTGACCTGAATATCCTTATATAAAAATCTATCACCTGTTCTTGGAAATCATCTTAATATTATGTATCTATCACCAGATGTATTACGAATTCGATCTTGATAAACATAAAAGTAAAAATTATCATCATCGTCTCTATCATATTTCATAAATAACGACATTTAATACATAATTCTGTAAACGATTTATTATTTTAAAATTTGAAAAAACGGTCGCGATGATGTCAAAGAAACCGAAACGTCTGATTGGCGGAATAAAATTTAAAATAGTTTAAATTAAAAGTTTAAAAAGAGGCGAAATCTTTCGGAACCATTGATCATATATTATAGGCTAATTGATCGACTCTCATTATTTAAACTAGAAAATATTTAATTTTATGAAAACCGCCGTTCCTTTAAATATAAAGTTCTTGGGGATAATCTAAATTGATAAATCACATACAAGATGAGTCACTCATTGCCAAGGTTGGGGTATCTAATTGCATTTAATGACATCGAAGATGAGTAACATTTATTGGTTACTATGTTACTTTGCATTGACCAAAAGTAATAGTTACACCAATTACGAGTAACTAACTACAGAATGTTAAATTACGTACAGTTCACCGTTNTATTATTAATTCTTTGATCAAAAAATTCATTTATAAAGTATTATTTTATGTAATTAGGTTATTATTATGTAAGAAGATTAATGCAATCTTGTATAATAATAGTTTTAATAATAATTAAAAACATAAATTAATAATTTAATGTTGTAAAGAACATTAAAATTAATTAAATATAAGAAAAAATAATAATTTTATCGTATAAACGAATGTAAAAGTTATCGATATTTATAAAAAATGCAATATTTTTTCGTTTATTTTTACGTAAAGAAATGCTTTTTCTATATACGCGAGCGCAAAAATTACTGGTGTTTATATAAATATTAATCATTTTGACACTAATTTATGCAAAATGTATGATTTTTTTTTGAATAAACGAGCTTAAAAATTAGTCTTATTTATGTAAGAAAATGGTCATTTTCATGCTCATCTATGCTATTTAAATATATTTGCAAAAATTTTATGTTTTTATATTTAAATTTTTATATTTTACTTAAAGAATTTAAGGCAAGAAATTTTTAAGTTGTAAATTTTTATTAACCCTGACCTGAATATCCTTATATAAAAATCTATCACCTGTTCTTGGAAATCATCTTAATATTATGTATCTATCACCAGATGTATTACGAATTCGATCTTGATAAACATAAAAGTAAAAATTATCATCATCGTCTCTATCATATTTCATAAATAACGACATTTAATACATAATTCTGTAAACGATTTATTATTTTAAAATTTGAAAAAACGGTCGCGATGATGTCAAAGAAACCGAAACGTCTGATTGGCGGAATAAAATTTAAAATAGTTTAAATTAAAAGTTTAAAAAGAGGCGAAATCTTTCGGAACCATTGATCATATATTATAGGCTAATTGATCGACTCTCATTATTTAAACTAGAAAATATTTAATTTTATGAAAACCGCCGTTCCTTTAAATATAAAGTTCTTGGGGATAATCTAAATTGATAAATCACATACAAGATGAGTCACTCATTGCCAAGGTTGGGGTATCTAATTGCATTTAATGACATCGAAGATGAGTAACATTTATTGGTTACTATGTTACTTTGCATTGACCAAAAGTAATAGTTACACCAATTACGAGTAACTAACTACAGAATGTTAAATTACGTACAGTTCACCGTTAAAATAATGCTATTATTAGCATATTATGCAAAATTATTCAGTGTGCACGTTAAATATCGTTAGTTAATATAATAAAATAATATAAATTAATATTATTATCGAATATAAAAGTATATATTATTTATTTTATAGATTATATTGCAGATAGATAGCCTTAAAAGATAGCTATATCTATATATTTATTTTTAATGCATAGATATTATTAAATAAATCTTAAAATATATACTTTTCTTATGTAAATGATTATGTAAATATTATAAAAAAATTTTTTTAATAAATTTATTCGTAGAGTACGGGATCGAATTTCGGTCTCAACTACCAGTTATTCTGGAAAGTATTCGCTTAGGCACCACATTACCGCTATCGGGATACCAAGTGTGTGTGTGTGTGTGTGCCATTTGACTGTCTAACAATATAGCAGATCGTGTGTGCGTGTGTGTGTGGGATGAGGCAGAGAGGAGGGATGCAGCTCACAATCTGCTTCACTATTTATACTTTTGCTTTATTAGAATCAGTTTTTTGTGGAAAAACTTTTACAATACAGGAGCTCTTAACTACCAAATTTTCGCGTAAAGTTTCTGATGACTTATATTTGGATCCATGTAAATCAGGTGAGGAAAAAAATATTTTTTTCTTATTAAAATTCTACTTTAAATAATTAATTCGCGCCTTTAATTAATGTGTATAAAACTTGTTTATTAATTAATAAATTGTATGCTTATCTTTTTTTATTATTTATTTAATGATATATCATAAAATTAATAAATTAATATATTTTACTTAAAAATATGCAAAAGTTTTTAAATTTAATCGATATTTTTCTGGTTTTTTTCCTGTTAAATCATACGTAAAGTTTTGAGATGGAGCAGCAAAAATTTATGAATGATTCTCTTAACTTTTCCTTGTTTTTTTTAAAGATTCAATATATATTAATGGTTTCTTCAAATAAAAAATTAATTTTTCCAATTTTATAAATGACTATTGATGTGAATTTTTAACATGTATAAAAATAGATATAAATTGAAAAGGATTTTTTGGAGGAAAAAACTTGAAGCGAGAGAGGAGGAAGAGAGATAGAAGCAAAATGGGTGCAAAATAACATTTTTTTAAGTGTATAAAATAGGCGTTATACGCTAAAAAGTATGGTTAAAGATATCTTTTAAAATATATAAAAATAAATAAGACTGTAAGCTATTGAAAAAGCATTATTTAAACATATTGATTCAAGTCAAATTTGCTGTTGAAGCATTTCTGAAAGTGTCCACTTCTTCAGTGTGATTAATGAACAAAAGTAATGCTTTAAATTATTAGAAATATTTTATAAAGTAATTAATATTATATTAAATCTTATATTTATCATCTAAAATTTAAGGATAATGTCATCTTTATCTCTTCAAATTGAATTGTTTATCCTGTAGATTTTACTTTTTAAATTTTTTTAAAATTAGATTTAAATGTTAAAAAATTAACAAATTCTGCAATTTGAACTTTATATAGTTAAATTAATTTATAATGCTTAATAATTTTTGTATTAAATCTTTCATTTACTATCTAAAATGGAAGCATAGTATCATTCTCATTGTTTGACTTAAATGTTTATCTTATAGATGTTACTACTTTACTTCTTTAATTTTTTTTAAAATTTAAATCTTTCTAGCTTAAATTTTTATAAATTTATTTTGCCACACTTTAAATTTTATTACACACAAGTCTATAAGATATTATTCTTATGAATAGGGTGTTATCTATTGTTTAGAAAGGAATAGTTCAAGTCTAAATTCTTAAAATACTTCTTACTTGTTGTTAATTTTGAGATTTATTGTGGAATTCTTTAAAATATATTAGATATCCTATCTTACCCTAAGTTGTTTTTAACAAAACATCAAAAAATGGGAGGATAAATGAAGGTCAGGAGTGCAAGTTAGGTGAGATATATAAGTTGCTAGGTAGTTAGAGGTCAGAAAAGGTCATAAAAGTAATAATTAACTTACATCAACTATGAAAATTGATATGATAAAGTTTTTTATGTTAAATCTTTTAATATTTTTTAAATGTAGAAATTTTTTTAACATTCAAGAAGATGCTACTTTATAGGAGAACATTGATAATATGAAGCAAACATGTAAAGAGTTGTAAATACTTTATTTATCTTTAAAAAATTACTTTTTATAAAGTACTAATTTTTTAAAAAGAGTGTTTTTAATCATTTAAAAGGTAATTTTTTTTAATGGCCATCCACTCAAGGTGTCAAAATGTGGGTTGGAAACATCACTCTCTATAGGTCAAGGTTAATGGTATTTTAGGTATTCTAAGATACAGGCATACTATAGCACTTTTTAGAAGTTGAATATCATTAAATGATGCATATAAGATATCTCCCATTTTATGATGCTTCAAGTACATTTTTTCTTTGAATATTATTAATTCTTTGATCAAAAAATTCATTTATAAAGTATTATTTTATGTAATTAGGTTATTATTATGTAAGAAGATTAATGCAATCTTGTATAATAATAGTTTTAATAATAATTAAAAACATAAATTAATAATTTAATGTTGTAAAGAACATTAAAATTAATTAAATATAAGAAAAAATAATAATTTTATCGTATAAACGAATGTAAAAGTTATCGATATTTATAAAAAATGCAATATTTTTTCGTTTATTTTTACGTAAAGTAATGCTTTTTCTATATACGCGAGCGCAAAAATTACTGGTGTTTATATAAATATTAATCATTTTGACACTAATTTATGCAAAATGTATGATTTTTTTTTGAATAAACGAGCTTAAAAATTAGTCTTATTTATGTAAGAAAATGGTCATTTTCATGCTCATCTATGCATAAAATAATTTTTTTTTGTATTTATGAGCGTAAAAAATATAAATATTAAGAAAAAAAATTAATTTTTGTTTAAATAATTGAAAGAATTATTGATATTTATATAAATATTAATCATTTTGACAGTAATTTATGTAAACTTAATAAGAATTTTTTTGTTTAAGCGATGTAAAAATTATTTTACTCTCACTTTTACTTTCATTTATATATGAAATAATGCGCTTTTTTTATAGCTACAGAAGTGCAAAATTGATTAATATATATAAAAATAGTAATAAATTTTATATAAATTCTCGTGATTATGAGAAAAATGTATTTTCAAAAAAAAAATATCGAGAGGAAAAAAAATCGAGAGCTATGACAAAAATAATTTGTCTCTCTTGATTTTTATGACTCCTCTCGGTGAAATAATATTATGAAAGAAGGATTCTGATTGGTTATCGATGCGCTTAATTCTAAGTTTTATGTATCCTGCTGTGGTTTGAAGATAAGAGTCATTACGTCATTGGATGGTGATTGATACGATCTTAAAACGATATATATCCTGTTTTTATGATCAGAACGTTTTACTAGTATCTTTGTAACTAAATCTCTTATTTTAAAGCAATTTTAATGAGTTATTTTTTTAAAAAAATTAAGAAATAATACACCTTATATAGTTCCTCATACGTATTCATTCCAAGAATGGTAACCGTATCAGGTCTTATGTAACCTGTTAATCTTAGAACACTTCTTTCACTTTAAACCATGTTTTTATATGGAAAAAGGTTACATTTGGTAACGATTTATAGGAAATGTATAAAGAAAAACTGTTATGTTTTATAGGAAATAATTCATTAGTTATAAATAGTTTATGGATATTTAAGAAAAATGGCAAAAATTCCAGTTAGTTGAAAGGGAAAATCATCTCTCACTCCCTGTCTTCCTTCATGTACGTATCTCACTGTTTTTTCCTCCTGACTGTAGTAATTAAGCCATGCTGAGATAAGAGTTGTGCGGTTACCTTTAACACCCTATACAAGGGGGAGGGTTGGTGCTATCGGAAATGCACAGTTCCCCTATAATTACTTGGTAAGCATAGCCGATAAATGTCTCATTAATAATATGCATTTTGTTCAACTTGGCAGTTGAGGTGGATGAATTTTAGAATATTAAAGTCAATTTTGAATGGTGAATAAATGGATTTTTTGAAAAAAGTTTATTCTCATTCCCCCCTTTTTTATTGTTATTGTTGTTTATTGTTACGTAGAGAAATTTTATGGAGATATCGCATTGACACGAAGCGATTACTTAGCATTACCATTACGAAAAAATCATATTACATCATCCTCTTTATCATCATCATCATCGTCATCATCATCCGATGTACAAGAAGCTAAGATGATAGCGAAAAACCTTAAGAGAAAAACAAAACGTGGAAGAAAAAGGAAATTACGACGAAGGTAAGAATTAAAATTTGCTGTGTTTCTGTTAATATAGTGTTTAATTATGCTAAATTTTATTATTTCTTCATTCTAGGCATAAACATTTACACGGTAAAAGAAGAAAACCCCGTGCAGCAACAGCTAAAGTTGAAAGATTGTGGGATAATGCTATTATACCTTACGAAATCGATGCGAATTTCAGTGGTAAATTGAAAGAATATCTTAAAAATTTTGTCATGTCTAGAAAATTTATAGCTTAAATTTTATTTTGTAAATGTAATTTGCATAAATTCTTAAAATATTCAACCAAAGAAAGAAATAAACACAGCTGAAAACCGAACCTACGCCTTTGTAAGACGTGGGTTCGGTTCCGTCTCGACTAATATGCATTTTGTAAAGACATGGATTTGGTTCCTAACTGAAATTGAGAATATTCTCCTCAGTTTAAGTCATAATTCCTTTCATTAAAGGTCTATGGGACTTATGCAATTTTGTATTAATTCTTAAGATTACCTATACTTACTTCACGAAAATTAATTTTATTTACAACATTTACAGGTGAACATCGTGCATTGTTTAGACAAGCAATGAGACATTGGGAGAATTACACGTGTGTAAAGTTTATAGAAAGAACATCTGAACACACAAATTTCATCGTATTTACAGAAAGGCCTTGCGGGTAATCCATTAATTCTAATTTTAAAAGATAAGTGTAAGTATTGTTATAAACATCTAAAATAATGTATTTTTACGGCTTTTAGATGTTGTTCTTACGTTGGAAAAAGAGGCGATGGTGCTCAAGCTATATCAATAGGAAAAAATTGCGACAAATTTGGTATTGTGGTACATGAACTTGGTCACGTTGTCGGTTTCTGGCACGAACACACGAGACCAGACAGAGACGATCACGTCAAAATCGTCACAGAAAACATTATGAAAGGTATATTAGCCTTTAAATTTGATCAAAAAATCATTGATACTGTACTAAAAAGTATTCATTTCTCAAACAGGACAGACATATAACTTCGACAAACTAACAGGGGATGATGTGAATTCGCTAGATTTACCATACGATTACGATAGTATCATGCATTACGCACGTAACACATTCTCGAAAAGTACTTATTTAGATACAATCCTACCACAAGGGGATCCTACAATAAGCAAATTACCAGAAATTGGGCAAAGAGTTCGACTTAGCAAAGGTGACATCGCACAAACCAATAAACTTTACAACTGTCCAGGTCTGTAACTTAAATATATCTATACTTTAGTGATATATTTTAATAATTAAAAATTAATGTGTTTTATAGTTTGCGGCCGAACGATACAAGAACCCAGTGGTACTATTTCTTCATCCGATTATCCATTTCACCAATTCTCTGAAGAACAGCTGTGCGAATGGAGGATTTCTGGTACTCATGGTGAAAGAATTGCTGTAGATATCACAGAATTAGATATACATGATTCTGATGACTGCGAAACGGATTATTTAGAAATTAAAGATGGCTACATGCAGAAATCGCAAATTTTAGGTATGTTCCTATCTTAATTTGTGGATTAATTAGGTGCGGTTTGGGTCGAATTTCGGATCAATTTTGCATTATCTGAGAGTCATCAGAAGTTTTCTAATCGATTAATAAACGATTAAAACAGAAGAATGAATGATGCTTTTATCAGAAAATCACTGTTTATGACACTTTCATCTAATTTTTCTTAACTTTAACTGTATTTAGGTCAAGGCTAATGGTTTGTTTCAAATCAGCATGTGTTAATCTAAAATAAATTTTATGCAAGACTTTAGTTTGTCAGGGTTACTGTAAAAGTAATCTTATTTTATATTTAATTATATTTATATATTAAAAATATAGCGATATATTTTATAAAAATAAACTTTTAAATGAATTTTCTGCATGGAAAATCACGAAAATACATTAAAAATTTTCTAATTGTCTTTTATTTTTTTATATTTTTAATCGTTCCAATTATAAATATAACTAATATATATATATTATGGATACAACTATCATTACAAAAATGAAAACCTACATTTTTTCATTTTTTTGCACTCCTACAGTTTCGAATACTATAAAACTCTTGCTGATGGTTAAACCCTATAGGATATAGGCCTACTTGTATAGTGGGCGTAGTGTTATTAACAAAGGGGAGATGATGATAATGACATCTTACCCCCAGTAATTTCGGGGAACCTATTATTTTCATTAACAATCGGAGGTCAAAGTTAAGTAGTCGAAGTGAGGTCGAAGGTGAGGCCTATTCTTCTCACAACATTCTCAGTATTTTAATGGTTATTAAACCGATGATCGTCGATAAGTAGGGTTTTGATAGGAAAAAAATTACGATTTATCACTCAGATTGTCCAAATTCTTCCATTTAGAAAAGTCCCTTTAGCGATTTTTGAATGTTCTTTATTTTTTTTTACAAAAACAGCGGCTCTAATGCAATCTTAAGTAGGCCTATACAGTATTCTTGTTGCAATATTTGTGATAGTATATTATTTTATAATTTTATTTTATGCATGGAATAAGCAGGTATTTTCATAAAAATTGTTCATATAATTGTGAGATAGTGTGATATTTCATGAATATATTGAGATCTTTTGAATTATGCTGCTACATTCGTGAACGATGGTAGTATATTCATAAAATATGCTACTATATTTCTGAAGGATATTAATGTATTTATTATGCTGGTATTATATACAAGAGAAGTTATTACATCCACGACAGATATTTCTACTTTTCTGAAAACTGCTACTGTATTCACGGATGCCACTGAATTTATCAGGCTGCTACATCCATCAGGAATATTTGAACTTTCGTGAAGTATCACTACTGTATTATTGAAAATGCTGTTGTATTTATCATGTTGTTATTGTATACAAGAGAGATGCTTGTACTTTTACCAGGGGTACTATTCGCGAGAGATTCGCAACATAAGTTAATATAGTTAAGAAGAATAACAACGTAAGAATGCCAGTAAATATGCCAGGGATGCCGCATACTTACGAGATAATTAGACATTCATAAAGATTGCTTTAATGATCCTCAGATGGTATAGTTTAGTATATTTAAAAAAAGGATACTGGCGTATCAAGATATTAGCATATATACTGGAGTGATGATAGTGAAGTACTTTGATATATCGTACTACGTATAATGTGGTATAGAATTGCGTAGAGGAGTAATGAACTTTTTTAGAGATGCGTGCCAAAGCAAGGTGAAATAACATCTACCAAACAATTGCGTGCCAACTCAAAAAATTTTGTCACAAGTTCATACCGTTAACACTCATCGCAATTTACTTTTACTTTAGATAAAAGCCGACGTCCTCTTTACAGGACGTTGGCTCGAAAAAGAACAAAAAAAATTTACTTTAAAATCTAATTTAAAACAAATAGTTAAGTAAATTAATTAGACCTCTTTTTTTAATTTTATAGAATTTTAATCTTACGTTGAATCAAGCAAGTTTTTAGCACTTTTTTTTAAATAAATTTATTGAAATTTTTAAAAATTATATTCTTATTTTGATACTGTTTTATTGTTAAAATATGGTAATAAAGTTTCAAAAAATAAGATTTAATTAATAAACTTTTTTATTTAAAAAGTTTGAATGTGCTTAATTTTTTGCATAATTTTTTCAATAATTATTTTTGTATATTTAATCATAAAAATTAAATCTTTTTATAATTTTTTTAGAAGGGGAACACTTTATTAACTATTTTATTAAATTTTTTAAGCTTGAAACATTATTTTATATAAAAACTAAAACCAATAGAATTAAGTTTTAATCAAACAACACAAAAAATTTTTGGAATTAAAATTATTTGATAAATTAATAAAAATAAAAAAAATGCAGGACATTTTTTAAAATTTGATATGTGACACTATTTTATTAATTATATTTTAGTTTAAAAAATGTAAAACAAATTTAATATAATATTAAAATGCATAAAATTTTTAAATTATATTAATTTTTAGGTTCGTTTTGCTTAATTAATCTAAAATCTAAAAAATAGAAAAAACATATTTTGGAATTTTTTGAAAAAAGTAATTTCAACCTTTAAGAAAGAGACTATCAATTAATAAAAAAAATATAAAAAATGACCCATTTCTATAAAAATTCACGCAACATTCTACAACCTCTTAAATTATATTTTTATATTGAAAATTACGAGGCAATTGTTTTAAATCTACATCAAAAAATCCTATAAACGTCAAAAGAATTTTTTAAAGAAAAGTTATCGATTTTCCCCCTTTAAATTTACAAAAATAAAAATATTATATTAATATTCGCTCTTGTATAATATATTTTAATAGCCCATTTTTATATCTAAGTGCGGGTTATTAACAAATTAATTGTTGCTATAACTATTACAAAAAAGGGGGGAAAATCCACTTTTTCCAAGATAACTTCTAAAAATGCTCGTTGCAAATAAAGAACTTATCTTGTTATGGGTTAGTCTATGGTGTTTTTTTCAATGGCCATAACTTCTTACACTACTGGATCGATCGTTTTAAATCATTTTTATTACCGGATCGATTTAAATTTTATTATTATTGTTATTTTACTATTTTTTTTTCCTAAAAAATTTGCATATCTTTCTTACTATATTTTGTTTCAGGTCGTTTCTGTGGAAGCGGTAAAGTGCCAGAAAAAATTATCACTTCCGGACATAGAATGATTATCACCTACAAAGTAACTACAAATCAATTGAATCATAAAGGATTCAAAGCGAAATTTGAAGGTATGATATATTACAATAATAAATCATTATATGCAGTTTTTAAAATGAAAATATAGCCTATATATACATATATATATATTTCTTTGAATGAAAGCGTTATGCGGTGGTGAAGTGGTTCGTGAAGAAGGTGTTTTGCAAAGTCCGAATTACCCTGAAGATTATCATCCTGGTAAAGAATGTATTTGGAAGATTACTGTCCCTCCTAATTATCAAGTTTCTCTTCGTTTTCAATCGTTTCAGGTAAATTAATTTGCATATTTTGCATTATACTTTGAATTTCATTTAATAGTTAATTGTATGCAATTTTTTCCCTTGTAGATCGAGAATCACGACAATTGTGTTTATGATTATTTAGAAATTAGAGATGGACACGATTCGAGTAGTTCCTTATTAGGGAAATTTTGTGGACATAAAACACCGGATGAAATTCGTTCTACTTCTAACAAATTGTATGTGAAATTTGTATCCGACACTTCGGTGCAAAAACCGGGATTTTCTGCTGTTTTTGTTAAAGGTAACTAAATTATTTATTTATTTATTAACTAGTTAATTAATCTGCATGATGTGTAACGGCATGGTAATGGGCACGTTTTAAGTAACTTGAGGTTCGAAGAAAGAGGTTTCTAGTAGTGATGACATTCGAAAAACAGGGCTTGTGGTAACTGGGATCAGAAAATTTAGGATTATGATAGAAATAAGTTCGAAAAAATCAAAGTTACGGTAAGAATTGGGTTAAAAATGTACGTTTTCTTATGTAAAATTTGTATATAAAAATGTAACTGATGATATATCGAGCGTCATCAATTAGGAATGATCCGAAACGTCATCAATTACAAGTATAAAACATGGTGGTGCATCGGAAAAATAAACAGGATTTAACAGTAGCGATGTTAAATAAAGTCGACCTTGACAGAAAAATTTAAATGCAGTTAATTTAAATAGATTAACAAGGTGAAAAAAGGATACGGCTTAATGATTTGTTAGTGGCAACAGTTGTTGACAATTAACTGGGCAACATATAATCAGTTGCGTCATTCACAAACTTAATCTGTTCGGAAGGGTTGAAAATTAACGTCAAAACACGAAACATCCCGAAACGAATGCGGTTTTGCGCATGGTTTACGAAACGACTTTAAAAAGACACGAAAAATGCATTAAAGTGCAATGTCGATGGTAAAAAATGTTGTAAATTTTTTTACAGAAATTTAAGAAAATTAGGAAAATTTTCGTAGGTTTTCTTTTAGTATACCGTTTTTTTCGATAAAATAACCCTGTAACTTCTGTTGCTTTTTGTTATACTATTTGCTGTTTTTGTTTTCTACTTTCGGATAGATTCGACTTCTTTTATGAAACTAAGTGATGTTTACTTTTACAATTTAATTGTATTATAAATAGTTAATAGTATAAGTTATACTATTAATTATTGCAATAAGTAGCAAACGTACTGGTATAGAATATACTAACTTTGATAAGGTAATAAGATAACTGTTCTTTATGAAAATAAAGATAGATTATACCGTACTTGGTTTCTTTTTATGGGGATGGATTACTGTCTTCTGTTTTTGATATTGGCTGGTCATAGTTTGTATGCATTAGTTTGTAGGCATTAATTACATTTCTATCTTTTGATAGGAGTGAATATATTAATTTTTATATTAATAAGCTGTATTTTCTACTGTTTTTAGTAGGATAAGCAAGTAGCCTACTTTCTACTGTTTTTACTACAGTGGGAAAATACTTTCTTTAGTTTTTTAGTAGAGTAGGCAATGCTATTAGTTTTTTAAAATAAGTATTGTGTTTTAATAACATTTTATATACGAGTATTGTTTATTATTATATATTATGTTTTACTGTTTAACAGAATATTAAACTGTTTACTGTTTTTAATGTGTTCAGCTCGATAATTATTTCAAAATTTGATTAATTTACTCTACCCTTCGTGGCACTTTTTATAGAGTATGACGAATGCAAAGGAACTGATCACGGATGCGAACAACAGTGCGTTAACACAGTGGGAGGTTACAGGTGTAACTGCGACATAGGTTTCGAGTTACACTCCGACGGAAAGACTTGCGAAGGTATTTTTAAAAGATCATGACGTAACCGCGTGTTTCGAACACAAAAATTGATGGCAATTTTCTTTTCTTATAGATGCGTGTGGAGGGGTCATCGCTGCCGTTAATGGTACTATAATCAGCCCTTCCTTCCCAGAACTGTACCCACCGAATAAGAATTGTGTCTGGGAGATAATAGCACCGCCTCAATACAGAATAACCATGAATTTCACCCATTTTGATCTGGAAGGAAATAATGTACTTTTGAATCCTTAATCGCCATGTTTTAAATTTACTGTTAAGACTTTTTTTTTTAATTTTTTTTATGATGGCCTCTAGCACGACTGCGAATACGATAGCGTGGACGTAAGAAGCAAACTTGGTGACATTGAAGTGAGGAAACACGGGGTGTTCTGCGGTGCCCATCTACCACCTGTCATTACTTCGGACGGTAATAGCTTGAGAGTCGAATTTAACTCTGATAATTCGGTTCAAAAAAGTGGTTTCGCTGCCGTATTTTTTACAGGTAATCTACTTTTATGCGTTATTTTTATAAAACGATTATGACGTATCGAAAATGTAGCCGTGAAAATAATCTTTGAAGTTTAGTGTTAAATTTACTCGACAGATGGCAGCATTTTTGATAAATTTAAACTTTTGAAATGTATTTAATAAAAAAAAAAACAATCGAAGTTTTACTAAATTAATATCTTATAAATAACAAACTAATTAATCTACATAATTAAAAAAAATTATGTAGAGTATTTTTAAAGGAAAAATGTTGATAATTTAGTTAACATTTTTTATACCAGATGGCGACTTTTATTTAGTCATTAGTGAATCTTAACTTATATATGTTTTAAAGAATATATAAAGTTTTTACAGTTTAAACTACGAAAGCAAAATTAAAAATATTGTTTAAAAATAATAATAATAAAGGGTAAAAAAAATCCTCCGTCGAGGCGGATTTGAACCACCGACCTATGGATAACTACAATTTACATCTACAGTCCACCGCTCTACCAGCTGAGCTATCGACGGAACAATTTAAAGCTGCAAAAGTCACTATATAACCTTTAAGAAGAATATTTTAGATTTATGAATATAATTGAATTGATTATTTAAGTAACTTAACATTATTAACAAATTTTTAACAGATAAGGACGAATGTGCTAACGATAATGGTGGCTGCCAACACATTTGTAAAAATACCATCGGTAGTTATTACTGCGCGTGTCATAACGGATACGTTTTGCACGAAAATAAACATCAGTGTAAAGAAGGTATTAAATTATAATTTAAATGTTCTTCTACTATAATAAGAAAAAAATATTATTATTATTATTAATTAAGAATTTTTTTTTAATATAAGTTTTAAACTGTTTACATTCTTTTTATTCAAATTTGTAGATAAAGTTTTTTGTTAAAATATATAATTGATACTTTATTCGTCAGATGGCAGATGCATCGAGCAGTTTGATGGTTTGAAATTACAATATTCAGATTTTGAATTTATTTATCTATTGAAATTTAAAATAATTAAAATCATTTTAAAATATTTACAGGATGACTTAAAAGTTAGTTAATGAATAGTATAATATTCAAATTGTATTTTTGTTAACTGACTTTTTGGTCACTCTATTTAAAAGTACTCATGTATATTTTTACCTGTACGTATCGTAAAGTATAAGAAAGTTTTAATTTTTTAGCGATAAACTAAATTTAAAATATATCTGGAAATGAAGTGAATCATTTGCAGACAAGCGCACTCGAAAGCATCAAGTCAAACGAAAACATTTGCAACAAACGAAAAGTTTATTAAATTTTGCATATACAAGGTGGCCTAGAAGTCACTTAACCCTATATTTTCAAGAAATTCAGCAAAAGTGTGTCGGTATAATCTTTTTATTGAACAAGACGAATTTTCCATTTTGAGCAATCATCGCAGAATTTTGTAAATAATAAAATACCTCAATAAGATAGCAATTTAGTCTTTACAATGGCTAACCGAGTTTGATGTTTTACTGACTGGACGGCCGAGAAGGTTAAGAAAGAGTTTATCACGCTGTTAAGGGGCCGTCCATAAATTACGTAAGGGCGATTTCGGCCATTCTAGACCCCCACCCACCCCTGTGTAAGAAATTGTAAGATTTTCTTTGATCCCCCTCCCCTTCCCCTTCCCTATCTTACGTAATATTTTGGCATGATTTTATAGAAAGATTTTAAATTAACCAAAAAAATGTTTTTAATGAAACCCTAAACACATTAGGTCCAAAATATATAATTATTAACTAGTTAATTAATCTGCATGATGTGTAACGGCATGGTAATGGGCACGTTTTAAGTAACTTGAGGTTCGAAGAAAGAGGTTTCTAGTAGTGATNAAATATATTAAATACATAATAATAATAATAATAAATGACTAGAGTCTGGTATCGACTTGTAGTTCGTTGGCCTCGTGCGAGGTTGAATTATGATAATAGTGTAATTGGAACGTTTGGTTTCGAACACTTGGCTGCTTTTACTAGTCATTATCTATACGAAAATCAATGATACCTTTTTAATTTTTAAAAATATCTTCAAATATTTATTTATTTATCTGTTTCTTCATCGAAAACATGTGACTACTACTGTTGAATATGTTGAAATATAAAATATATGCTCCATACATTGCAGATATTATTGTAATTTTATTTAAAACATAACGTTATTAGTAAGATATTCATAGTAATAAAATGTTTAATACTAGTTAATTTGAAATGTATTAACATAATTATGAGAAGTACAGTATTGTAGATACAGCAATATATTTGTAATATTGTATATATTATTAGAGATAAATTGCAGAAAAAATAATATTATTACTGTAATAAATTACATTAAACTTCGATTTTATGATCTAATTGGCTTCAGTAAGAGAGTCTTTATGGAAGCCGTCGTAAATCGAGTTCGAAGTGACCATAGGCTTAGTGTTGTAATATAAGTTTACGTTCACGGAAGTAAACTTTAAAATATATAAAATCGACCCAAAATGCCCAAAAAATGGTACATAAACATGGCATTTCATATTACCATAATATAAAAGCGAGCGGTCGTAAAGCGGAAATTTATTGCAATACAAAGAGCATGCTGTATCACAAAATTTATAATTGCAAGCTTAATGAGTCTGTGTAATAATAAAATTTTATGCAATATTTTTTTCTAGGTTAAAGTTTTATCAGAATATCTGATTTATGTATAAAAAGCGTGATAATTCTTACTAAATAAGTTGTATCGATGCTGGTTTTGGAATATATGAACGAGAAAATCCACACCTGTTACGAAAGAACGAGGACATTTCGTGAACGGTATTTAGACACGAATTCGATCTACGAATTGAAATATTAATCTATAATTATACTAGTTTAATGGGTTAAAAGAATTCAGTATAAGTTTACTTAACTTAGTTAACTGTTTTAATGTAAAAGTAACTAGTAAATTACATGAAATGAGAAGAACTAGTAAATTAACTAAGTAATCAGTTATGTAAGTTAGGTCGATACCATGAACGTAATCTCATTTTATAATACTGAAGTCTACAGAATATTAAAGCTTGCTTAACGACGAATTTCTGAAATCAATTAAAAAGCATAATAGTAGAATAGAAAGTATTTTTTTAAAAAAGTAAAATATATTATTAACTTTCAAAAAAATCAATTAAAAATTCTCAAAATATCTATTCTGTAGCATATAATTTATAGTACTTTTCAGGTTTTTTTGCNTTAAAAAAGTAAAATATATTATTAACTTTCAAAAAAATCAATTAAAAATTCTCAAAATATCTATTCTGTAGCATATAATTTATAGTACTTTTCAGGTTTTTTTGCTGTTTATTAAAGTGGAATTATAATTATTTATGTATAACTTTTTTAGAAACCTTCGTATTACTTTTTATAGTTATTTTCATGAATATAATACACAAAAAAATTAATAAATAAGCAATAATAAATTTGAAGCTCTTTTCGAAAATAAGTAGAGAGGTATCATTGATCTCTGCACGCATAATCATTAATAAAAGCATAATTATTCTAAAACAAACCTTTTATATATGCGTCCTGATTAAATAAAAAATATAAAAATAATTCACAAATATTTTCAGAATGAAGATCATGAATTAAATCACTGATCAATAAACACGAATGTTCATTGAAGAAATCAGATAACCGTATTATTTGCATGAAATTCATCAATTTTTGCATGTATATAAATAATGAATTATAAAATTAAGACAAAAATTAGTCTTTACAATGGTTAACTAATTTTTGGGCCACCTTACCTATGCAATACATTATTTGCATAACTGATATGATTATTTACGTAAATAGCCAATTAATTTGTAATTATATATCATATGTTTCTTATAATTGTATTTCTAGTGATTATAGTTATTATAAATTTGATAGAACGTAACCAGTTAAGCGTGTTACCTGTTACGCTAGAAAAATTGTCCATCTCTAAGAACTACTTTTTTAATTATTAACGAATATCAATATTTATGATTATTTCCTGTTTAGTTTTATGTAATAAAGTATTCATTTTCCTCATTAAATATTCATTTTACATTTGATTCTAAACAACAATTTTTATTTCCTTGAACAATTATGTTATTGGCTATTGTTAATCGATTCATATTTTCATTGGAAATACATTTTTCTACTATTTTTATTTATATTTATACTGTATGTTCTATAGATTTTTTTTAGTATTTTCTATAATATATAAAGTATTTTTCTGTAATATTTTTATTTAATAATTAATCTTATTATATAATTTATCTTAAAATTGTTTTATTGTATAATTAATACACAGAAGTGGTAAAATAGAATACAAATATCAGTAAGAACAATATAATTTATATCCATTTTTGCATAAAGGAAGTGTAAAAGTAATTTATTTTATGTATTAAATGTTGAAGGATATTGAAAAGATAAACTTTATGTAATAAAATACAGTTTTAGCATTATTTTCTAGACTTAACTCCGTATAATTGACCGTTTTATCATCGAAAGTAGTAGTTTCAATCTTGCTCATTTATAAGTTTACTTAAATTAACAGCTCGTTAATAGTCAAATGCAGTAAATCATGTCTAAAATGGATGGAAAACTGCCTGAACAGAAATAAATCTCGGTACTGAGAGATTTACTACATAAAATACTATTAGAAATCAGTAACTTATCTAATGTGAAAACGATGACTTTTTGAATACAGTTATAAAACCCAAGACCAGATATTGAAAGATTAGAGGACGGAGGCCCCGATTAACTATATACGAACGTCCAATTAAAACCGGAAGTCATATTATTTCAATTCAACCCCCCGAAAGCAGTTAATAGATGACCGGCACAACTCTATTGTTAAAGGAAAAGTAAGATGTACAGGGACAAGCCACTACTAATCTGAGGTGGATAGCATATATTTAAATTAAATACATTAAAAATATGATTTAAAGTTGTAGCCCCGACATTGTGACGATGTGAATACAAAGTATTATTATATTAATGATTTTTTCCTCTGTGCATCTCAAACACGTTTTGTTGTTTTAACGTCTTTGAAACATAAAACATCGGAGAAGCAGTTCTAAATGTATGGAAGTTGTAACAGTTTTTGAAAAACTTTTTACATTTCTATACTAATAAAAAATGTAACACTCTTATAAAACGGAAATCTACCAAAACGGAAAATATCCGAGCGATACTAGTCACGTTTTGTTTTAGACAGATTTTACTATATTAAACTTTTCTAAATTTTATAAAAATAGAAAAATTCTTTAAACAATTTTTTATCCTCTATTATCTTTACTTATTTTTTTATGGAGAGAAAATCAGTACTCTGTCTCATTAGATATTACTGATGTTGATATTTTCAATTCAATCCCTACATATTTTAAGTTTCTGATTCTTTTCAAATGATAACATTTTGTAACTAGGAATAAATATAAAAATAAATTTGTATTGGTTCTAAGCAGAGAGAAAAAATACTATTGATACATGTAAAAATTGATAAGTATTATCTCTGTCTATAAAGATGATTCCTTGAACCTATCTAGAGAATTAAAAAAAAAAAAGAANTTTACCCCCACCCACCCCAAAATGCCTTACGTAATTTATGGACGGCCCCTAACCCATGTTCCATGACTAACCTTGGACGACAATCACCAAGAATAACCAATTTTTCTTGGGGCATCGTTCCTGGTTATGAATCCACCCCTGGACGAGCGCATAACGGCATGCTGCTAAAATGTGCTAGGTGCACCTGGGGACTAAATAATAAAGCTTATAAAACTCTATATAATGGGGCAATACAACCAATGCTACTTTACGCGGCTTCTGGCTGTGATCATTAACTAGTAAAAATTCAGTAGCAAGCAAAACTGGCTCGTCAAAGCCAGTTTGCCATCAGAATTTCAAAGTACTGCAGAACTGTTTTTACTAATGCCTCTCTGATAATAGTAGAACTCCTTCCTTTGCCACTATGTATTGTAGAAAAGGTTCTAAACTACTACTACATCAGAACTACAAACGTCAACGCTCAATAACGGTCTCTACTCCTATCTACGGTCTCTACTCCTATCTACGGTTGTTCATATGCTACCACATTGCAATTACCCTACTATCTCTGATCATCATCCTGTAAACAAGGTTATTTGGTGTCATCCGCTTCCTCCATGGATAATCATGCAGGCATCAATATCTACACAGATGGGTCCAAAAGCTCCCTTCTTGTCGGCTCAAGTATCTCTATCTTCCTTCAAACTTACATATTTTGCCAAAAATATGTTAAAAGGTACAGATACCTCCCATATACCTCCATCTATCAAGCTGAAGAAGATGCTGACTACTAAGCTGTTCAATGGGCCACTTCATTACCAAACAAAACTCTATCAACATTTATAGTGATTCTGTCTGTCCTAAAAGCTCTATTAAATCCCAATTGCAATAGGAATAAAATCGCATATATCCAGCACCATATTAAAAATCTTGTAAATAAGATAATTTTTATATTTGTTCCTGGCCATACTGGCGTACTAGGAAATGAAAACGCCAACAGTGAGGCTAAGTCAGTTGCAAAGGAAACTGACTCGGACTACACTCACATCCCTCTCTCACATAGCAGCCTTAAAAATTATATTCGTGACAACGCTATGCGAAAGTGGAATCAGTAAAGGTAGTTGAGCAGTAAAACTTGTAGAATAACACGACTTTATTTTCCTAGTGTCGAATGTAGGTTCCATCACTACTTAGCGATTTAACGTTTGCTTCTGCTCAACTACTTACTGGGCGTGGTAATTTTAGAAGCTACCTGGAGATGTATTGATATAACCGGGCAGAAACTGCTTCTTGCTTTTGCTCTACAGAAAACCTAGACACCGTCGACCACGTGATCTATCATTGTTCAATTTACAATCAACATACATTTATTCTGAAATTAGAAATTTTTACACTTGGTTTCAAGTGGCCATATCCACTCGATAAGCTTGTTCAGAAACCACCGTTTGATGCTTTTTACAATTATGTTCAAAAAATTTGGAAGAAAAGACTATTTATAATTTCTAATTTCTAGTTTTACATTTTAGTTTTCACTAAAAGTCGAATACTAAATTTATGTTTATTTTGTATCGTGTATTTTGGTTTATGTATTCTTAGTGTTAAACATCCATAGGAGTGGTGCACTTATTCTAATAAAAAACAAGAGAAAGAAACCACCACACGGACTTTCTCCCATGACAAAAAATGTGTAGAACGTGAACCTGCTAGCGTTATTAGTCTACACGTCACACGAGACAACAGCGTTCTTAATAGAAACCGCCAAATTGAAGCCAAATTCAAAACGCCAACAATCAACAAGGTCAAAAAATAAAAATAAGAATATTACGTAAGACGAGATCTATTATCCCCCTACCCCTGAGTAAGAAATAGTAAGAAATTTTTTACCCCCACCCACCCCAAAATGCCTTACGTAATTTATGGACGGCCCCTAACCCATGTTCCATGACTAACCTTGGACGACAATCACCAAGAATAACCAATTTTTCTTGGGGCATCGTTCCTGGTTATGAATCCACCCCTGGACGAGCGCATAACGGGCATGAAAAAAGCCCTCTTAGTGCCCACAGGGTGAAGGGAACAATAAAGTGATTAACTGAGTTTTGGGCCGGCTTCTATACGAACGTATCTGTAGCTTAAATAGGACAAATATCAAAATACATCGGTAAATCTACATTTATTATAAAAACTGAATATTTTAGATACAAAATAAACAGGAAATGAACCTATACAATAATTTACATTCAAAACTGTCTTTCAATACAGTACTTTAACCTCTGTTAGCAATTTTCCTCCTTGCCTAAATTTATGGCATGATATATATTATGTTTTACATGAATAATAATTGAAGTAATGTTCTCTTAGGGAGCTGCATCCATCATATATCTTCTCCCGTGGGAGATATAGTTAGCCCAAATTTTCCAGATTTCTATCCGAGTAAGAAAGATTGTGCTTGGCTTTTTACAACGACACCCGGACATAGAATTAAATTAGTAAGCATTTTTAAATATAACATTTTAAGAAATGTTTTGAAAAGTTACTTTAAAAATCATAAATAAATCTTATTAATTTATTTCTTATGTTTTTAGTGGGCTAGTTCAATGCTATTTTTTTCTCTTAATGATCTTTTGGGAATTCTTGATATTTCTCCTTTATTTTCTGTCATAAATTTTATTACTTTATAACGTATTTTTTGTTTTTGTTGTTGTCGCTAGAAATAGAATTTCTAAGCCACCTTTTAATTTATAAATTTTAAGGTATTTAATGAATTCGAACTGGAGCCACACCAAGAATGTGCTTATGATCACATAGCTGTATACGATGGTGATACAAGTGATAATCACATTTTAGGAAGATTTTGCGGCAGTAAAGTACCACATCCTTTAATTGCTTCTGGAAACAGAATGTACTTAGTATTTAAATCAGATTCATCTGTTCAAAGGAAGGGATTCAAAGCTAGACATTCTACAGGTATTCATTTGTATATAGTTATCGGCACGTTTCGTATTTAAATCTTTCAAAATAATTTTAGATTTTACTGAATTTAAACGTTATAATTCGATTTAAAATGTTTCAATGGCTCTCTTTATACTTTATAAATGCGAAGTTATTTTATTGTAAATTATTACATAAATTTTTATCTTGCAAGATTTTTACATTATGTAAGGTTACATATTGTGATTATTTTACTGTAAAATGCGATTTTACAATAAAGCTTAATTTATAATTGATGAAATAATCTACCACTTAATTATCAATTATTATCAATAGGTTAATTATACAATAATTTAATTATAAATTCTTGAATCCTAAAGATTCATCAGCTTTAGAAATTGATTTAACTTTTATTGAATTTATGTTGAATTCTATTTAAAGCAAGTATATAATTAATTAATGAATAAAAGAATTATTTATGAATTTTAATAAATACAAATATTAATTTTTTAAATGTATCATTAATGAGTCTGATTACATGAATCTAATTTAATTCTTTAAATATATGATAGTAAAGTAGTAAATAATGTATGATATTACCATTAGACTAATTTAAACTTGTGATATTTATAGTTTACAGTATTTTAAATTATAAAATTTACAATTATTTTGGAATTTAAAACTGAAAATATTTATAATTATTTTTATTGTAATGATGTACAATTGAAATATACAGTCGGGTTCAGATATTGAAATTTGACTAAATAGCTCTGATTGCACCTAATATAAAAGGACCCTCAAAATTGAGACTTACTATATATTATTTTTTCACCATTTTTTCATAAAAGATATTTGTTTATTCATATATTTTTCATCATTTACAACAAGAAAAAATTTTAATAATAATTTAATAGAAAACAAAATAATGTTTTAGACAGGTAGAATCTCTATATGCCATTGCCTGGGCTAAGTGGTCCTTCTGGCATTTATTTTGTCTATATGGACCTGACTGTATATAATTACTACAAATTATTACGATTCTACATTATTAAAAATTCAGATATTGTACTTCTAAATGCAATTATTTATATTTAGAATTACATTTTCAATTCTAAATCCCAACAATTTGCGGCTGACCTTAATCTAGCCTCTCTCAAGCACCCTCCCTATATACAATTGTCAGGAATTGAAATTGTTATATTTTCAATTATAATATTTAGAGCTGATTATATTTATACTTTCATCTATAACAATAAAAATAAAATATATTTTTATTGAAATTAAAACAAGCACGATTATCTTAAGTAGCCTTAGCGTGTATTTTATAGCATTTCAAGGTATGATTTAATTGAAATAACATAAAAAGTCAGTTTCAAAAAAATAAAATGAAATAATTTATATAAATTTAAACCATTTGCAAAGAGTTAGAATGGCAATTACTAGAAATTTTAAGTAATAAAAGCTAAAAATAATAACAGACTTTTTGAAATAATTTTTTATTTAAAACAGTAATCATAGTATTAATATATATATATAGGCCTATATATTTAATTTGGTCTTATAAAAATACTATAAATGTTTTATTTTTATAACTGTTAAATAAAATACAATTTAATTTTATAGGGTTTTTTAATATTATAATTATTTTTTAGCATGTGGCGGACGATTAATACCACATTCCACACTAGAACATTTGTATTCGCATGCCAAATATGGTGATCAAAATTATGAAAATAAAGAGGATTGCGATTGGATAATCAGTGCAAAAGACAATCAACGCATCCAGTTAAGATTTTTAACATTTGAACTAGAACACGAACAGGACTGCAGTTACGATTACGTTGATATCTTCAATGGTTACGACGATTCTAGTCCTCATCTCGGTCGCTTCTGCGGTAACAAGGTGAGAAGTACTTGTTGCTTCTGGAAATATAATAGTTTTCTCGTGAAATACTTGTTGCTCTTTGGAGGTATAACCGACATGTTACGAAAAATTTATAAAGTTTTCTCTTTTTCGCAGGTTCCTCCTGAAATCCTTTCCTCTTCGGATTCGCTTTTAGTACGGTTCAGATCCGACGATACCATTAACAATAAGGGATTTTCAGCAGCATATATCGCTATAGACGGAGATGAAGTTTATCCAAAATTAGAGAAACATTGACAAGAATTACGTAATAATCTCTTTTTATAGATTTCGTCTTCCTTTATTCAAGAAATCGCACAAAAACAAAAATTTGAGCAATAAGATCTTTCATACTTTGAAAATAAAGCGGTTGAATTATTATAAAAAACGCATGTATGTATACAAAAAATACTGTATACTATATTTGCATACGCATACTGTATATGTATGTATTATATATACGGCATATATAGTTAAAGTATCCAATAGAATGTTTGTGTTGTGATGTATATAGTAAGATATTAATGGTGTTTTTGTCAATATCAATGTAGTTATTTAAAAATTATTGATACGGTTATTATCAAAAATTATTTAAAAACTATATATAGAATTTATTTTGGGAAGTTTTAATGGGTAAATATTTGATTTTTTTATTTTTAACTATATTATTTTTTAACTTTATCGAAGATATATATATATATATATATACATATATGTATTTATCAAAATAAATATGTGATTCATTTTTTCTTTATAAATTCAGATTTATTATTATTATTCCTATATTGAAAGAGATTTCCGCATTCTTTTAATCAATTTTTATGCTAGAATTTGCAGGAAGCGTGTTAACTATATATGATAGATACTAGGAAATGTCCAAAGAATTAAAATATCGACCAGATGTTAGTTATAATATTATGCAAAGGGCAATCACCTCATTTGTTAAGTTAGGGATATAAAATCGATTTTAATAGTTGAAAAGTGTATTAAAAATGTGATGAATCTAGTTTTAGAATTAGATTTATCTTATATTAAAGTTTGCTGGAAAATTCCAAATTCTATAGAATATGCTTTTAAAATCTTTGGAAAGATCTCCAAATTCTCTAAAATGTTCTCATATTGAATGTTAGAAATTTCAGATGACCGAAACAAATGTTGAGAGGTTCCAGATTCGCTAAAATGTGTTCCAGGATTGTTGGGAAGATTCGGCTTCTATAAAATGTATTACAAAAAATCTTTGGAGATGTTCCCAGCTCTAAAATGTTCTCAAAATAAATGTTAGGCGATTGCAGATTATCAAAATTATGCCCAAAACAAATATTGGAAAAATCCAGATTTTCTAAAATGGTCCCAAAAAGTATGGGGGGGATTCTAGAATATATTTAAATATACGATAATTCTTAAGTCTATAAAAATATATTTTTTTAGATGTAAGATTTTGGATTTTCCAATAAGACGTGAAGGATTCAAAATTTTAAAAAAGTTCTTATGTATATTGAAAACTGTTTTAAATTTTATAGCATATTCTTAACTTAGGAGAGAGATTTCAGAATCTCTAAAAATAAACTTTAAGATGTCAAAGCATCTGAATATTCAAAAGTTTTCTTTAAAAAACGAATATATTAAAATATATTTAAGATATCTGAGAAAGTCTTTAGATTTTTCTCGATTCTATTAAAAAGATTAATAAAAAATTATATTATATACAATAAAATAATGTAGGCATTTCTATATTCGTAATAATTTAACCTAAATTATCTTATCTATAAATGTATTTAGAATAGAAGACGAACTGTTTTTTTATTTGGCTTGAAACCAACGGGGAAATTACTAAATGGAAAAATTAGATTTTCTAGAGCTACTATGGAATATAATTATTGTTAAGTGGTATCTCCAGAACTATATTCTCAAGAGTATACATTAGATTAAATCGAACATTTATCATTTATAAAAAAAAAAGGGTGCTTCAAAGAAACGAGGACGACATGAAGGATTGCACTTTGCGATGAGCTGGTTTTGTCTTCTCATTCTAATTGACATTAACCTACTTTTTCGTATTATTAATTATAATTATGTGTATATGTAATATACACATTTAACTTTTATTTATTAATCTTAATTTTATGTATTAGAAATCATAAAATTGCTTTTTGTGTGTGAATTCTAACGCGTAATGTAAAGCCAGCTTCTCCTTATGTCATTGAGCTATGCAGTGAAGCATCACTTTTCAATTAGTTAAATTGTTTAAGCTGGTATAAATAATCAAAACGCCGATTTAAATACCTTATTATAATATTTTATAATCATTATAAATTGTTAAAACTCTTTAATTACACTGAAATATTATGAAATTGTCTATAAAATGAGTTCAAGACCCTTAGAACCGCGATCTACTGGTTGAAAAAATTAGTATATAAATTGTTGCATTTTTAAGTTTTAGTAAATTAATAATTTCATTATTCGTTTATCATAAGTAAAGCTTTTACTGATCTTATTGAATTTTTTAATACCAAAATTGCTCATCTATCTTCGATTTTCAGAATTATAAAAAAAATCAATATTACAGTATATCAACCCTTTTCAATAGAATCGCTCTTAACGATTGATTATTCAAAATATGGATGATTCATACGATTTTCATTTNAATTAACAGCTCGTTAATGGTCAAATGCAGTAAATCATGTCTAAAATGGATGGAAAACTGCCTGAACAGAAATAAATCTCGGTACGGAGAGATTTACTACATAAAATACTATTAGAAATCAGTAACTTATCTAATGTGAAAACGATGACTTTTTGAATACAGTTATAAAACCCAAGACCAGATATTGAAAGATTAGAGGACGGAGGCCCCGATTAACTATATACGAACGTCCAATTAAAACCGGAAGTCATATTATTTCAATTCAACCCCCCGAAAGCAGTTAATAGATGACCGGCACAACTCTATTGTTAAAGGAAAAGTAAGATGTACAGGGACAAGCCACTACTAATCTGAGGTGGATAGCATATATTTAAATTAAATACATTAAAAATATGATTTAAAGTTGTAGCCCCGACATTGTGACGATGTGAATACAAAGTATTATTATATTAATGATTTTTTCCTCTGTGCATCTCAAACACGTTTTGTTGTTTTAACGTCTTTGAAACATAAAACATCGGAGAAGCAGTTCTAAATGTATGGAAGTTGTAACAGTTTTTGAAAAACTTTTTACATTTCTATACTAATAAAAAATGTAACACTCTTATAAAACGGAAATCTACCAAAACGGAAAATATCCGAGCGATACTAGTCACGTTTTGTTTTAGACAGATTTTACTATATTAAACTTTTCTAAATTTTATAAAAATAGAAAAATTCTTTAAACAATTTTTTATCCTCTATTATCTTTACTTATTTTTTTATGGAGAGAAAATCAGTACTCTGTCTCATTAGATATTACTGATGTTGATATTTTCAATTCAATCCCTACATATTTTAAGTTTCTGATTCTTTTCAAATGATAAAATTTTGTAACTAGGAATAAATATAAAAATAAATTTGTATTGGTTCTAAGCAGAGAGAAAAAATACTATTGATACATGTAAAAATTGATAAGTATTATCTCTGTCTATAAAGATGATTCCTTGAACCTATCTAGAGAATTAAAAAAAAAAAAGTAATTTACAATGCTTTTAAATGACCAAAATTGTAAGAAGTTAGAATCTTGAAAAAATCTTTAATTTTTATCTCGAATAATTCGTTATAATATTTTATTTTTGTCTTTAAAGTTTTTAATGGTTTAATTAATATCCTTAATATAATACATTAGAACGAAATTATTGGTGAGATATTAAATAAAATCTTAAAATGTAGACAAAATTCGTAAGAACATAAATAGTATATTTAAAATCCAAAATATTATTGTTATTTATTTCAATTTCAACCAATTATCGTAGAGATAATCTTATATTTCAACCAATCGTCGTTAAAGTCTTTTCACTTTAAAATTTTTCTTAAATACAGTATGGCCAAAAAGTCTGTTTCTGAACGGATGTAACACATTCTGGGAAACACTACTGTTGGTCCGTTCTTCTACGAAAATAATGGACAACACACATACCGGAACATGCTGGATTTTTCTGTGCTGGATTTCCTAGATGACTTCCTCTGAGTCAACGATAGGATGGTACGGTTCCAGCAGGATGCATTAGCGAGGTTGCGGCCGACGTTTTCAACACGTAAACGTGTACGTCGGACGTTCAGCGCCGTCTTCCTGTAAGCCTAGAAGATTGATAATGGCGTTTGGAAGGTCAAGCATGATTCCACTGACGTCCCAAACCCCATTGTCAAATTTCTAGGTTTACAGGAAGACGGCGCTGAACGCCTGACGTACATGTTTGCGTCCGACGTTTTCGCGTTAAAAACGTCGGCCGCAACCTCTCTATTGCCTTATCCGTTCGGGAGGAACTTAATGCAATGTTTCCAGGACGTCGGATTGGTCGCTGTGGCCGGTTCCTCGTCACCTTCACGTTCGCTCGGCTTAACCTCTTGGGATTTCTTTCCGTGGGGTTACGTGGAGCAACATGTCTTCCAGACACTGCCCGCGTCCGTCAACGGATCGAAAGACAGATTTGATACCGTTCTTAACAACATTCCACGTGCGACTCTTGCAGCAGTGAAGCGTGAAGTTCTGTGTCGTGTACGACATTGTAATCGATTGTGCAAACAACATTTTGTACTTGAGCTTCAATGAGTTTCAGTAGTGTACACTCTATACTCACACTAGTCGTAACCTGATTGTCACACAAGACTGCATTAAAAGTCATTAAAGTCTTTACAGTCTCTTTCATCTGTAATTAGCAATATGTCCTCTTTCCCAATTTGGCAAGCGACTTTTTGGCCATACTGTACATCGCAACGAACTTTTTATAAAAATATTTTTAAGTTAAATTGTAGTCTTAGTTTTCTTTTTAATTATTGTTCGATGTAGATATATACAGTTAGTCATTTTAAAATATTTGTGTTTTCTATAAAATAATACTTCTAATTACTTCAACCAATTTTTCCGCTCACCAGTGGCTGAGTGGATTAAACCACTGGAAACTGGTCGTGGGTTCGTGTCTCTCCAACGTGTTGGTCACGTGAAGTTTCCGGTTTTCTTCACATTTGTAGCACTTAAATATGTGCCAGTTTCCCATAAAAGATCTTCCGGGAGCATCTCCTAGCGAGATCACCCACAAATATCAGTAAGAACAATATAATTTATATCCATTTTTGCATAAAGGAAGTGTAAAAGTAATTTATTTTATGTATTAAATGTTGAAGGATATTGAAAAGATAAACTTTATGTAATAAAATACAGTTTTAGCATTATTTTCTAGACTTAACTCCGTATAATTGACCGTTTTATCATCGAAAGTAGTAGTTTCAATCTTGCTCATTTATAAGTTTACTTAAATTAACAGCTCGTTAATAGTCAAATGCAGTAAATCATGTCTAAAATGGATGGAAAACTGCCTGAACAGAAATAAATCTCGGTACGGAGAGATTTACTACATAAAATACTATTAGAAATCAGTAACTTATCTAATGTGAAAACGATGACTTTTTGAATACAGTTATAAAACCCAAGACCAGATATTGAAAGATTAGAGGACGGAGGCCCCGATTAACTATATACGAACGTCCAATTAAAACCGGAAGTCATATTATTTCAATTCAACCCCCCGAAAGCAGTTAATAGATGACCGGCACAACTCTATTGTTAAAGGAAAAGTAAGATGTACAGGGACAAGCCACTACTAATCTGAGGTGGATAGCATATATTTAAATTAAATACATTAAAAATATGATTTAAAGTTGTAGCCCCGACATTGTGACGATGTGAATACAAAGTATTATTATATTAATGATTTTTTCCTCTGTGCATCTCAAACACGTTTTGTTGTTTTAACGTCTTTGAAACATAAAACATCGGAGAAGCAGTTCTAAATGTATGGAAGTTGTAACAGTTTTTGAAAAACTTTTTACATTTCTATACTAATAAAAAATGTAACACTCTTATAAAACGGAAATCTACCAAAACGGAAAATATCCGAGCGATACTAGTCACGTTTTGTTTTAGACAGATTTTACTATATTAAACTTTTCTAAATTTTATAAAAATAGAAAAATTCTTTAAACAATTTTTTATCCTCTATTATCTTTACTTATTTTTTTATGGAGAGAAAATCAGTACTCTGTCTCATTAGATATTACTGATGTTGATATTTTCAATTCAATCCCTACATATTTTAAGTTTCTGATTCTTTTCAAATGATAACATTTTGTAACTAGGAATAAATATAAAAATAAATTTGTATTNAAAATCAGTACTCTGTCTCATTAGATATTACTGATGTTGATATTTTCAATTCAATCCCTACATATTTTAAGTTTCTGATTCTTTTCAAATGATAACATTTTGTAACTAGGAATAAATATAAAAATAAATTTGTATTGGTTCTAAGCAGAGAGAAAAAATACTATTGATACATGTAAAAATTGATAAGTATTATCTCTGTCTATAAAGATGATTCCTTGAACCTATCTAGAGAATTAAAAAAAAAAAAGTAATTTACAATGCTTTTAAATGACCAAAATTGTAAGAAGTTAGAATCTTGAAAAAATCTTTAATTTTTATCTCGAATAATTCGTTATAATATTTTATTTTTGTCTTTAAAGTTTTTAATGGTTTAATTAATATCCTTAATATAATACATTAGAACGAAATTATTGGTGAGATATTAAATAAAATCTTAAAATGTAGACAAAATTCGTAAGAACATAAATAGTATATTTAAAATCCAAAATATTATTGTTATTTATTTCAATTTCAACCAATTATCGTAGAGATAATCTTATATTTCAACCAATCGTCGTTAAAGTCTTTTCACTTTAAAATTTTTCTTAAATACAGTATGGCCAAAAAGTCTGTTTCTGAACGGATGTAACACATTCTGGGAAACACTACTGTTGGTCCGTTCTTCTACGAAAATAATGGACAACACACATACCGGAACATGCTGGATTTTTCTGTGCTGGATTTCCTAGATGACTTCCTCTGAGTCAACGATAGGATGGTACGGTTCCAGCAGGATGCATTAGCGAGGTTGCGGCCGACGTTTTCAACACGTAAACGTGTACGTCGGACGTTCAGCGCCGTCTTCCTGTAAGCCTAGAAGATTGATAATGGCGTTTGGAAGGTCAAGCATGATTCCACTGACGTCCCAAACCCCATTGTCAAATTTCTAGGTTTACAGGAAGACGGCGCTGAACGCCTGACGTACATGTTTGCGTCCGACGTTTTCGCGTTAAAAACGTCGGCCGCAACCTCTCTATTGCCTTATCCGTTCGGGAGGAACTTAATGCAATGTTTCCAGGACGTCGGATTGGTCGCTGTGGCCGGTTCCTCGTCACCTTCACGTTCGCTCGGCTTAACCTCTTGGGATTTCTTTCCGTGGGGTTACGTGGAGCAACATGTCTTCCAGACACTGCCCGCGTCCGTCAACGGATCGAAAGACAGATTTGATACCGTTCTTAACAACATTCCACGTGCGACTCTTGCAGCAGTGAAGCGTGAAGTTCTGTGTCGTGTACGACATTGTAATCGATTGTGCAAACAACATTTTGTACTTGAGCTTCAATGAGTTTCAGTAGTGTACACTCTATACTCACACTAGTCGTAACCTGATTGTCACACAAGACTGCATTAAAAGTCATTAAAGTCTTTACAGTCTCTTTCATCTGTAATTAGCAATATGTCCTCTTTCCCAATTTGGCAAGCGACTTTTTGGCCATACTGTACATCGCAACGAACTTTTTATAAAAATATTTTTAAGTTAAATTGTAGTCTTAGTTTTCTTTTTAATTATTGTTCGATGTAGATATATACAGTTAGTCATTTTAAAATATTTGTGTTTTCTATAAAATAATACTTCTAATTACTTCAACCAATTTTTCCGCTCACCAGTGGCTGAGTGGATTAAACCACTGGAAACTGGTCGTGGGTTCGTGTCTCTCCAACGTGTTGGTCACGTGAAGTTTCCGGTTTTCTTCACATTTGTAGCACTTAAATATGTGCCAGTTTCCCATAAAAGATCTTCCGGGAGGCATCTCCTAGCGAGATCACCCACATGTCGCGTTGTTGTAACCAAATAAACCAAGCCAAACCTCAATGTTTTCGTCAATTTTAGATTAATTCGATCCGATAAATAATAACTGGGTGTGTGATTCATACCAGTATATTTTAACAAAACTTCAACTGAATATTTTATTTTTGCAACAAGTAAATGAACAATTTTTTAAAAATATAACCTATAATTAAAAAGTATATTTGGACGATTTTAATTAATACATAAATTTCATCGTGTTTCGATTAAAATTTTAAAATTAAACGAACAATTATTTATTGTAACATGTTCACAATAAATAATTGTTATAATTGCTGCAATTTTTAATCATATTTTTTTAAANATATTATAATTATTTTTTAGCATGTGGCGGACGATTAATACCACATTCCACACTAGAACATTTGTATTCGCATGCCAAATATGGTGATCAAAATTATGAAAATAAAGAGGATTGCGATTGGATAATCAGTGCAAAAGACAATCAACGCATCCAGTTAAGATTTTTAACATTTGAACTAGAACACGAACAGGACTGCAGTTACGATTACGTTGATATCTTCAATGGTTACGACGATTCTAGTCCTCATCTCGGTCGCTTCTGCGGTAACAAGGTGAGAAGTACTTGTTGCTTCTGGAAATATAATAGTTTTCTCGTGAAATACTTGTTGCTCTTTGGAGGTATAACCGACATGTTACGAAAAATTTATAAAGTTTTCTCTTTTTCGCAGGTTCCTCCTGAAATCCTTTCCTCTTCGGATTCGCTTTTAGTACGGTTCAGATCCGACGATACCATTAACAATAAGGGATTTTCAGCAGCATATATCGCTATAGACGGAGATGAAGTTTATCCAAAATTAGAGAAACATTGACAAGAATTACGTAATAATCTCTTTTTATAGATTTCGTCTTCCTTTATTCAAGAAATCGCACAAAAACAAAAATTTGAGCAATAAGATCTTTCATACTTTGAAAATAAAGCGGTTGAATTATTATAAAAAACGCATGTATGTATACAAAAAATACTGTATACTATATTTGCATACGCATACTGTATATGTATGTATTATATATACGGCATATATAGTTAAAGTATCCAATAGAATGTTTGTGTTGTGATGTATATAGTAAGATATTAATGGTGTTTTTGTCAATATCAATGTAGTTATTTAAAAATTATTGATACGGTTATTATCAAAAATTATTTAAAAACTATATATAGAATTTATTTTGGGAAGTTTTAATGGGTAAATATTTGATTTTTTTATTTTTAACTATATTATTTTTTAACTTTATCGAAGATATATATATATATATATATACATATATGTATTTATCAAAATAAATATGTGATTCATTTTTTCTTTATAAATTCAGATTTATTATTATTATTCCTATATTGAAAGAGATTTCCGCATTCTTTTAATCAATTTTTATGCTAGAATTTGCAGGAAGCGTGTTAACTATATATGATAGATACTAGGAAATGTCCAAAGAATTAAAATATCGACCAGATGTTAGTTATAATATTATGCAAAGGGCAATCACCTCATTTGTTAAGTTAGGGATATAAAATCGNAAAAAAAAAAAAAAAAAAAACAGAAACCATAAATAGGATGTAAAAATTGTAACAAAAGATAAGAAAAATTCAACTTTGGTATAAAAAATTGTCTCAAAATTTAACTTCGATTCATAATTAATTACAATTATAAACTGATGTTAATTATGAACAGTCAATTATCAAAACATTTAAAAAATTAAAACTGAATCATCATCATCTCCTGCCTATTTCAACAAAGTATAGGACAACAGTTTTCAAAGAAACACTTCCGAAATGATGGCGGAAAATTATTTTCTATTACCGCTTTCAGATTCAATTTATAATAAATGCCAATTACTTCGCACTGATTAAAATATTAACGTGTATCGCTGTTACTTTCGTACATAGTTACCAGTATGCTTGTAAAGTTGACATTAACGTAATTTGACGCAATGGAGAAATTACCTTACTTTATTATAATTAAGGTAAGTTTTAACTACATTAAAAATCTGTATATTTTACCTCTCGTAGATTCTGAAACCATACAGATTCATTAACGTAACAAATAGTAAAACAACAGAAACTTTTTGGAAGCTTCAGGATGTTTGGATCATTTTGTGCATAGAGTAAAAAGTTTTATGGATGTTTAAAATCCTGCATTTGTAAAGATTTATATATTGTAATATTTCATAAAATATCGGATTTTTTTGAAATAGTTTTCCCTATTTTTAACTTTATAGTATTTATAGTAATTCTTATTTACAATGAGTTTGTATATACAATGGAAAAATAGCTTGGGAAATTAAAAATGTTTAAAATTAAGTACAGAAATGATTTCAGATTAAAAAAGAAAATAAAAATTAAAAAGCCTCTACCGGACTTCTACACATCATAGTTACCACATTTACAAATTTTGATATAATGTGTTTTGAACGATTCCATATTTACATATATTTATATGTATTATATGAAACAGGTTTACAAGTAATCTCATCAAACTACTAAACTAAATCATATACTGAATAAACTGGAAAATATGAAATTTATTTTCTCTTTTTGGTTCTGGATTTTCTACGTCTGTCCGGTTTCTTTGTCTTGTGAAGTCTTCCCACATGTACTCCTTGTCTCCTCCTCACCAGAAGCTGTTGCTCTACTAAATCTGCCAACTTTCCTTGTTCTGCCAACATCGATAAAAATGTGCAAATAAATTGATCGTAGCAATGCGTTCTCCGACAGTCATCAATCTGTTAAACAGATTTATTATTATTATTCCTATATTGAAAGAGATTTCCGCATTCTTTTAATCAATTTTTATGCTAGAATTTGCAGGAAGCGTGTTAACTATATATGATAGATACTAGGAAATGTCCAAAGAATTAAAATATCGACCAGATGTTAGTTATAATATTATGCAAAGGGCAATCACCTCATTTGTTAAGTTAGGGATATAAAATCGATTTTAATAGTTGAAAAGTGTATTAAAAATGTGATGAATCTAGTTTTAGAATTAGATTTATCTTATATTAAAGTTTGCTGGAAAATTCCAAATTCTATAGAATATGCTTTTAAAATCTTTGGAAAGATCTCCAAATTCTCTAAAATGTTCTCATATTGAATGTTAGAAATTTCAGATGACCGAAACAAATGTTGAGAGGTTCCAGATTCGCTAAAATGTGTTCCAGGATTGTTGGGAAGATTCGGCTTCTATAAAATGTATTACAAAAAATCTTTGGAGATGTTCCCAGCTCTAAAATGTTCTCAAAATAAATGTTAGGCGATTGCAGATTATCAAAATTATGCCCAAAACAAATATTGGAAAAATCCAGATTTTCTAAAATGGTCCCAAAAAGTATGGGGGGATTCTAGAATATATTTAAATATACGATAATTCTTAAATCTATAAAAATATATTTTTTTAGATGTAAGATTTTGGATTTTCCAATAAGACGTGAAGGATTCAAAATTTTAAAAAAGTTCTTATGTATATTGAAAACTGTTTTAAATTTTATAGCATATTCTTAACTTAGGAGAGAGATTTCAGAATCTCTAAAAATAAACTTTAAGATGTCAAAGCATCTGAATATTCAAAAGTTTTCTTTAAAAAACGAATATATTAAAATATATTTAAGATATCTGAGAAAGTCTTTAGATTTTTCTCGATTCTATTAAAAAGATTAATAAAAAATTATATTATATACAATAAAATAATGTAGGCATTTCTATATTCGTAATAATTTAACCTAAATTATCTTATCTATAAATGTATTTAGAATAGAAGACGAACTGTTTTTTTATTTGGCTTGAAACCAACGGGGAAATTACTAAATGGAAAAATTAGATTTTCTAGAGCTACTATGGAATATAATTATTGTTAAGTGGTATCTCCAGAACTATATTCTCAAGAGTATACATTAGATTAAATCGAACATTTATCATTTATAAAAAAAAAAGGGTGCTTCAAAGAAACGAGAACGACATGAAGGATTGCACTTTGCGATGAGCTGGTTTTGTCTTCTCATTCTAATTGACATTAACCTACTTTTTCGTATTATTAATTATAATTATGTGTATATGTAATATACACATTTAACTTTTATTTATTAATCTTAATTTTATGTATTAGAAATCATAAAATTGCTTTTTGTGTGTGAATTCTAACGCGTAATGTAAAGCCAGCTTCTCCTTATGTCATTGAGCTATGCAGTGAAGCATCACTTTTCAATTAGTTAAATTGTTTAAGCTGGTATAAATAATCAAAACGCCGATTTAAATACCTTATTATAATATTTTATAATCATTATAAATTGTTAAAACTCTTTAATTACACTGAAATATTATGAAATTGTCTATAAAATGAGTTCAAGACCCTTAGAACCGCGATCTACTGGTTGAAAAAATTAGTATATAAATTGTTGCATTTTTAAGTTTTAGTAAATTAATAATTTCATTATTCGTTTATCATAAGTAAAGCTTTTACTGATCTTATTGAATTTTTTAATACCAAAATTGCTCATCTATCTTCGATTTTCAGAATTATAAAAAAAATCAATATTACAGTATATCAACCCTTTTCAATAGAATCGCTCTTAACGATTGATTATTCAAAATATGGATGATTCATACGATTTTCATTTAACAATTTACATCGTTTTAACAAAACGTAATTAAAATTTTACAGTAAATTATCAGAAAAATTTACTTTAAAAATCACTACAAAATCTTTAATTAATCATAAAAACACTTAACAGGAAATGACATCATTGAAAACAAATGAATCAATTGTGTCACGTGAGGGCGTGTGTCGTATGCATCTCCATGGTAACTGTTGTTATCAGCNCTAGAATAAACTAGAATAAAGATTATAAGTTAAGATGAAGATTTAAATTAAAACAAATTATTGAAAATTATCTTTAATACTTTTTCTTTAACTACTGACGTTGATAATAATTTGGAAGATGTTTTTAATTGTATATTGAAAATTAAGTGGAATATTCTGTTTTTGGAAGATAAAGGCGGGTAAAGGGCAGATAAAGGCACTTTTAAAAGTTACTATTCTTTAATTTTACTAAATCATAAAATTATATGAACAAGTAAGTGACAAAATCGTTAGATCGTCGTTTAAAACAGTTCAATATCGACTGCATAGTCACAAGGTAAATTATGCAGTTTATACGAGTTCATATATCATGTGAGTATGACGTAAATATTCAGCACGTTGCAGAAGTTAACAGTTCTACACGTGCTGAATGTTTACATCACATGATTAGATTGAACGTTTTACATCATATACTTCACCAAAGTTTATACCATATACCACATGGGAGAATCATTTTATTAAGTCACAGAGAAACAGTATTAAACAATGCTGTTCCTTTGTGACATAATAAAATGATTCTTCCATGTATCTCTGCTGAATAATTCTACTAAATGATAACGAATTTAAAACTGAAATAATAATTTTTTTTTTACAATTTCAAACTATAAAATTTAATTTACTTAATAATGATTTAATTTAAAAAGTTTTACATATCTCTCAAGGATAGTGTTTACAATGACTGCCTATCCATCATCCCATAAATGGCCCATAATCTAAAATTATTTTATAAATCAATCTATTATACTTACAAGTAACTTCTCACCTTAAATTGTTTAAGCTGGTATAAATAATCAAAACGCCGATTTAAATACCTTATTATAATATTTTATAATCATTATAAATTGTTAAAACTCTTTAATTACACTGAAATATTATGAAATTGTCTATAAAATGAGTTCAAGACCCTTAGAACCGCGATCTACTGGTTGAAAAAATTAGTATATAAATTGTTGCATTTTTAAGTTTTAGTAAATTAATAATTTCATTATTCGTTTATCATAAGTAAAGCTTTTACTGATCTTATTGAATTTTTTAATACCAAAATTGCTCATCTATCTTCGGTTTTCAGAATTATAAAAAAAAATCAATATTACAGTATATCAACCCTTTTCAATAGAATCGCTCTTAACGATTGATTATTCAAAATATGGATGATTCATACGATTTTCATTTAACAATTTACATCGTTTTAACAAAACGTAATTAAAATTTTACAGTAAATTATCAGAAAAACTTACTTTAAAAATCACTACAAAATCTTTAATTAATCATAAAAACACTTAACAGGAAATGACATCATTGAAAACAAATGAATCAATTGTG